CGGGGAGGCGCCGTTACCGGCCCGAGCGCGGCCACCGGTAAGGGGTGTGTGGCAGACCCCGAGCGCGGTGCCCCCCTCTCCCTGGGGCCCTGCTGGCTGAGGGCTGCGCGGCGGCAAAGTGCTGCTCGCACCCGTCGTTAATTAGCGTTTATTTCATCTCATCCTTCTCCTACTTTGTCCGCGTTATAGTGCGTGCCATGTGTCAGCATAGTAGTATATAATGTATCGATAAGTAAATACGCGCGTTTTGCTGGTCGGGGTGCGCCAGGGAAAGTTGAGGGGGACGCTGGGCGGGGGGCAGGCGGCTGGTCTGGGCCTTGGCCTTCTGGCTGCGCAGCTGTGAGCTCTCTTTCCCCAGCAATAACCTGCCCTCCTGGCATCGGTGAAGCAGGTCCTCAAATAACATTAAGAATTAACAGACGCCAATGGAGTCATGTTTGTTTTTCCGCGGGAAGGAGGTCAGCACAGCGACACGGGTGTGGGAGCAGGCAGAGGTGAGAAGCTGATTCTCAGGAAAGGGGAGAGATGTGACTATCCGACAGGGGAAAAAAAGGCGGGTTTTGTATTGCAGCTTATATTCTGTCTTAATTTTAACATCTAGATAACTATAATTCCATTCTGACTGGTCTCCCTGTTATGTTGAGCTGAAAGGTTCAGTTTATCCAGATTTCAGTAAGCCTTTTGGTAGGACCAGACCAGCTCAGCACTGAACTCATGTTTTGTATTTTCTGTGCTGATTTTGGGGCAGCTTTTTTTCTAGATGACTTAAGATTTTGCTCGTGACCTGTGAGCACTGCACAGGCCACATTCTTTATGCATCTCCATAATCTCATCCTGCAGCTTCTCTAGTTATCTCTTCTTGTGGTAATCAAAACTGAGATTTGCTATGGAGCTTTAGCCCTGACAAGAAAAAAATCTAAATGTAACTAGCAGCTAAACGTGAACTTTCCTAGAAGTCAAAGAATAGAGGATGTGGATCAGTCTTGTTCACCTCAGCAGTTGAGTTCTGAGACCTAGCAAATAAACACACTGCTGAACTGCTGACAAACTCCACGAGCCTGAGATTGCTTACAAAATCTTGGAACTGCTGAAAGAGATTTAGTGGAAGAAGTCTGCTTTTATTTTTCCAATCTGTCTCACTTTAAATTTCTTAGCTGTATAGCTTCCATTTTAGAAACACCTTGGGAGGGGTTATGGGTATTATTGTTTAAGCTTAATCTCTTTGAGACTGGCTTTTGCTTACTTTATCTGCACTACTTCATCTGCAGAGCACTGCTGTCTGTTCTCAGAAGGTGAATACCTCAATTTCTCAGTGATACAGTTTTCTGCATAAGAATTTATCTAAAGCCCTGTTTTTTCCTGCTTTTGATTTGAGGATCCATGCAAAATCACTGGCAGTCTCTCTATGCTGCTCAGCATAGTTTGAAAGTGTATGTATATTAATAAGTAAGATTTACAGAGTATTTGATCCTGACATCAAAACAAAGTGCTTTTCAGATGCTGTGTTTGTAAATATACTGCCACTGAGGAGAATCAAGCAGTTTGTTAACGTGGATTTGGGGAGTCATCCTACACTGACAACATGACATAACTATTTTAGGGAGGGAAAGGAAGAACAATTATCCTTTTTAGCCTTCAGGGGAATTTTAAGTACACAAAATGTAATTACTCAAATTGAAATTTACCTAGGAAGCCACAATTAAACACCCTTCTCTCACAAAAAATACAACAGGATCATATGACAATCATGAGTTTCAATTTAAAAGTGAGAGACTATGACTGAGAAGCCATTTAGTGTGTGCTGCTGCTTACCTCTCTCAGCTCTCTTTCACAGGCATTGTGTTGCCATATTCTGCTCACCCCGTACACTCTTCTAGACCAAAGGCAACACAAGTGGCTTTTGACTGTGACTTGCACGTTCTGCTGGGGTATCGAGGGAGCTCTGTCACTGCTCATGGTGTTCACATGCAACAACATCGATGTGTGTATATGGGCAAACACTCATGAAATCTTACTTTAAAAAATAACCAACTGCTTTTAAAATATAGAAATACCTAATCTATAATTCAGGCATTAAATTGTTCAGAATTTGCATTTCTGCCTGTTTTCCCGTAGAAAAGGCAGCACTAATCCTCTGGTTTATCTCAAAGTGTCTGTAAGAAAAGTATCAGCTCTACTAATGTGCTATATGGGAACTCTAGTTCATGTATTTCAACAGGTGAAGGATACGATCCAGCAAAGACATGGTTATAACACAGCTGGATCTCTGTAGGTATCTAAAAGTCTGTCCCTAATTCATCAAAATAATTACACACCGCACAGAGAGTCAATACGTAATCTCAGTACATGTCATTTCATAGCTGGCAGGCAGCCTTCGTGCCTAGAGAGGCTGGGCAGTTTCACCTCTGGAGTGCAAGCTCCCTTGCTTGCAGCCTGCCTGTAGGTTTTAGCAGGCAGACATGGCTCTGTGCAGCACAGCCTTTTAAGGGTGAACTATCTACTCTGGTTTTGTCTTCGTCACTGAATAGGGCATTGCGGACAGTGCCACGCTTGCTAACTGGATTTCTACTTCTCTTTTCAGTGCCTGATGAGGAAGATCCCCCTGCTCCCACCACATATCGGCGTTTCAGCTGCAGATAATGATTTCTGTGCATAGTAACTTCCACAGTCGGTGGGAATCTGGTCGGCACAGCGTGGGTTTGTCCACCTTTAATCAGTGTGCAGGCAGGAGAAAGGCTGCCCACCCCTGTGTAGGGGTTGTTGCATCTTGGGGAATGGTTTGCTCTCTGGTCTGTCAGTAAGCCTGTGCTGAACAGGTCAGCCAGCGCTGCATCAGATTTTTGGGGAAGTCTGCAGGGCTGCTGGCTGTAAGGATAAAGTTGTTTAAAAGGCATCACTGCATGAAGAGTAATTACTGCACTACGGGTGTGTTTCACGGAGGCTGCAGGCTATGTACAGTAACTGCGGGACCAGTGGTTCACCATGTAACCTGGTAAGCATAATTTACTGCCCTGTCTTACAAAATTACTTCCAAATTTCAGCTGAATCACCTTTACTTTACTCATTGCTGTAGAATTATGGGCGGACTTAAAAATCTTCAGATATATAATGGCTTTTTCAGCAGCCTTGCCTCTCACTCAGGCAAAACTCCTCCAAAAATTGTATCGGGCTGATTTATTGTTTTTCGTTCACAGCTGACAGTGCACCTAGGAACCACAGTTACAACCAGTCATTGATTTATTTCCTGCTCAAATGCTGTAAAACATTTTCAAGAAATGGAAGAAGATAAAGGGCAGACTGCTAAAGCTACCAGTGCGGTGGGTGACTTGAGGAAAAGTTGGCAGACCTGGGCAGAGGACCACATTGAGTATCAGAGAAAGAACCCATTCAGCAACAATGACAGGCTTGCATCTAAACCTGTGCATACTCACAGAGGAGATCCCACCTATGGGAGACCCCCTGAAGGGTCTCAGACAGAGCAGAGAGGGAAGGATGCTCACTCACACGTGGGTAAGGAAGTAGAAGAGCTGTGCTTGATCATTAGAAGCACTGGAGAGGTGGGAGAAGATGGACATGTGAGTGTGACATTTGGGCAGCTGTTTGAAACATACGTGACTATTTCCAATAAAGTAGTGGGAATCTTGTTAAGAGCCAGAAAACATGGTCTAGTTCATTTTGAAGGTGAAATGCTTTGGCAAGGAAAGGATGATGATGTGATCATCACTTTACTAGAATAATGCTTTGTCATCTAGTGAATTCTGTTGCATGGCTCCATTTGGAAAAATGTATCCAGATACCATCTTGAAAGAGGTTTTTATTACAGAATTGCAACTCCATTACTTACTGGGACATGAACAGGTGTGAAAATGGGTGGGAAGGATAAAAGCTATTTTTGTAAAAATGGTAGAGATTTGGACAGAAATCACAAATAATGAACTAATTCATTGTGCTGTCATTGGATTGTCCTTTCATTGTTATCATACACTACCAAGTATACCACAGTTCTTAAAATATCTCTGCTGGCTTACTGCTTTAGGTTACTGAAAGTATAAATTACTAATTTGCTACCATACAACTGATTCTTGCAGGTTGTGAAATACTCACTGTGTGTGTGGTTTTGATGTGTAAAACATGGAATTGAAAACTGTTAGCAGAATTCATATACTTGTTCAAAGAAACAGCCTGATATATAACAAAAGTTTAGGTTATTTTGACATATGGAATTTACTTTCATGAAGTATATGAAAATTACCAAATTTACAGAAATACCACATCAAGGATATTTGATGGTTCCTAAATCAGTTGCATCTTGCATGTATTTTAGAGCTGCACTAGTGCTGGTATTTAATAGTCTGTTCTGACCATCATACCTTCTCCAGACCTTGTGTGTCTCTTTGCCTCACACTATTTTTACCTCTTCTGTTCTTCTAATGCTGTGTCATACCCTAGAAGATCACAATGCTCTGCAGCCTTCTTGGTGAATTCAGCTAATATAGAAAGTAGGGTGCCACAACTTAAAAATGTGAAAGACAACTATTGAGGCACTGTGTATTTGTGAGGAAGCAAAAAACCAAGGCTTGCTCTCTTCTTTCACCAAAATGCAGCAATGTTGTTTACAACAGGAGGAGAATAGAGATCCTGTAGTGCCAAATGCATAAATAAAAGTGTAGCAGTGCAGTCCCTTAACTTGTTTATCTGAGGCAGAGCTGTGCTTTCAGAGCACACTTGTGAGTTCTCCAAACTGGGAGAAAGAATGATCAGCTAGTTAAAATTGAGACTGAAATGTGACTGATAACAATGGTTCTCCTGGGGGAACTTTAAAAAAAAAAAAAAAAAGGATATTTTATATACAATAGTTGTAATAATGCTATTAAAAATAATCAGGAGCTTTATTTAAAATAGTCCCCACCAGGAAAACCGTATAATTACAAATATAAAATTCTATTTTTTACCAAATAAAAGCTTTTCTGTGCTGCTAACTACACTACTTGATGAGTCTTTAAAGTAAGATATTCTCTTGCCTCAAAAGGATATTGAAATTTAATATAGTTTATGAACTTGATAAAAGTGATATTTTATGCTATTTATAGGAAAGAATGTTTTTTTGCAAAAAGCCTAAAATAATGTGGGGTTTTTCTGTTTTGACATTTTCATCCAATAGGGATTTGCATCAAAATAAGCATTTTGACTGAGCAAATAAAAATATGGATTTAGTTACCCCTCTGCCTACTTTTCCTAGTGAAAAGACAGTAAAAATAATAGAAAGAAAAGGGAAGAAATTAATATGCTGGGGGACAGGGGAGTCAGATGTGGGTAGAGAATGGACAGGGAAATAAAGGGTTAGTTTTAATCACATAATTACACCACATTGGAAACTGGGGAGTAGGTGCTGCACCAAGCACCGCTTCTGTGTGTTCCCTTAGCTTTCAGACCCACTTCTCCTTCCTAAACAAATCTGTCTTGCAGCTGGAGAAAGATATATAATTTGTGATCTTAACACATTTAAAATGCTTTGTGTTTTGGAAAAGCATTTCTTGCCAAAGTGGTATGAACACAGACACCTCAGTGGATTTCAGCTCCCATTGGATAAAGCCTGTACATACATTTTGATTTTGAAGAGAATCAAGCTTTTTATAATACAGCTATGGAATGCAGTTTGTTTAATTCCAGTAATTTTGAAATCCAGTCAGTTCTGCTGTAGCATTAGTTCATAGCTTGCAGGAAGCAGTATCAGGCTGTTCAAGTGTTGCCAGCTGGTTAACAGGATGGTAGTATAAAAAAAAAAAAATACATTACTTTTGTACAATGTACACTGTACAAATAATAAAGACACACAGTTGGGGCAGTGTGTAGCCTGAGCATGCCGAGATCCAAGTCCAGCTCATGTAAACTAACTAGTTCTTAATTAAGGTTGGCTCAAATAATTAAATGTCAGGGATCCAGGCTTCCACTGCCACGTAAGTAGTTAGTGTTAGATGTTACATGGCCTCTGCTGCACTCTCTCCTGCTGCTGCTTGGTTTAAATATCACTTGAGCACTCCTACAAGAGCTTTATGCACACCTCTGATCAAAACAGACAGAAGCAGAGTAAGCCCTAATGAAACAGTCTTACCATTAGGTAAGCAACTAAAAAAAGCTTGCCCTACTATGATGTTTTGAATAAAACCAAGAATTATTATAAAAAATATTATTTAGAGATAATTTTTTTAAATAATTAAACAAAGTTTCCCACCTGCCAGCTTTAGATGAGCATCCTCCTAAAGAGTGACTGAAATCTATGGGCCCATGCAGTGGCTATAAACACCAAGCTTGCCAAACTGGATCAGCATGCAGATTGACAAATCCAATCTCCTGCTTGCAGCAATAGCCAGTATTTCAAAACAGGTCTAAAAGATAGAGAATACAACTGGTCAGCTTGTCCACTGGTACACTCCAGAATAAAAAAATTACTTCTGAAGCCTGTATAGTCACAAATGTGTCATATCTAACACACGTGATTCAGTTTAGCTACTAGTTTACAAGTTTTACAAAATTCTTCTTCCTCATTTGTGACGTGGAGAATAGATTAGCTTCTACAGATGAAACAGGAATTTAAACTTTCCAACAGGCAACTTTTTTTTCAGCAGGCTCCCATTAGAGTGAATGGAATAGAATTTATTAAATTACTTTTACAAAAATTGTAGCATGTGAGGGTTTTTTAGCATTAGAGTAATGGAATAGTATTGGAATAGTAAGTAAACTGACCTTCTAAAAGGTGTTATTGCCTGGCTAAGTTGCAGCTCTTCAAATCGTTCCTAAATTTCACTTCTTTGAGGCAAGCCCCCTCGGTGGTCTTTCCTCTTCTTCCACTTGAAGCCTGTGAATTCTGCATCTCTTTTGGACTGTACACTGTACAGGGACTATCTGTGTTTTGTCTCATCAAACACTGAAAGCACTTTCAGCACTTCAATAAATGTTGCACGTCAGTTTAAAATAACAAGCAAGGTTTAACACAGCATTTTATTGTTTCCAAGTTTTTCAGATTTCAAATGGAGTTTTCACTGTTTTTCTCCCATTTTTGTGCTTTTATTTGCAACTCACAATTAAGAAGACTTCAGAATAGCTTGGGGCGCTATTACCAGTTTAATCACATTGAAAATGCTGTCCTTAGTCAAAAGACTAAACTTTTTCTCATTGTCCATTTAACACCATTGTATGTATATGTGTTCCGTCCCTCCAGAGAGGGCAGTTAGTACTTCAGCATAAAAGCATTATGCTCTGGGTTCACATTAGGTTGGGAGTTTATGTAAAACAATTGAACAAAAGAGTACAAATAAAGCTTTGTCATTCTTAAACATGTAGTCAAAAAAGCAGCTTTTCTCAGGACTGCTAATACTGGATCAAAGAACCACAGAGCCAGGGGCAGTGGCTAAGCAACTTTCCTTTGCTTCTCCAGGCTCTTGGAGAGAAAGAGCTCCTGAGTTCACCCTCCAAGAGTATTTTATTGATCTTTGCTCAGTGGAAGGTTCTACAGGTGATTTTGGAAATTTTGAAATGATGCTGTAATGCTACTGTAGAAGAGGGTGACATAGTTAATGGGGTCTGCCCACTGCCTCTTCCAGGGGCTAGCCAGTAATTCTGAAATGTATTCAAAGCATTAGGATAGGCTTTTCAGAAAATATTTCTTAGCCTAATTAAAAAAATTATCTGAAGAGTCCAAGAATGCTTGTAAATACAAAAGGAAAATGGAACACAGTTCTGTGCTGAAAAACACTAATGAGTTACTGAGCATTCATCTCAGTAATTATACGGTTCTGTTTAATGCTTTGTGGTTTGAGATGGTTTGAGGCCTGTCTGCTGCTGTCAAGTTGAATTCCCCATTGTGCTCATCAGCAAAAGCTTGGGAGTTAGCTATACCCTGATTTTTACCTTTCCAGTTTCACTGTCATTCATGTGACCCTTCTCAAATGTAAGATACAAAGCTGACCTTTGTGCTTCTGTGTACATTTGACAACTTACTGAGTCTGGCTCGGACAGAGATAAAATTCCTTCAGAGCAGCCCCTATGGTGCCACATTTTGCATTTGTGACTGAAACAGCATTAATAACACACCAGTGTTCTGGTCACTGCTGAGCAGTGAGTGCTTGCACAGCATCAAGGCCACCTCTTTTTCCTGCTCTGCCCCTCCAGTGGGCAAAAAGCTGGGAGGGGGCACAACCTGCACACCTGGCACCAAGAGACTAGCAGGGTTATTCCATGCCACAGAATGTCAAGATCTGCAATAAAAGCTGAGGAGAGGGTTTTGTTTGGTTTGGGGAAGGGGGGGCAGCTGTTGCTACTGGCCTGCTGGGGAGAAGCCATGAGTGATAAACTTTGCACCTTGTTTTGTTTTTTTTTTTTTCCTCTTTCCTTCATTTATTAAACTGTCTTTATCTCGAGCCATGAGATTTCTCATTTCTCCTACTCCTATTTGCTCTCCCATCCCTCTGACATCGAGGGTGAAGAGCAAGCAAAGGGCTATCCAGGGTTACACCACCCCACACCACCCCCCCAAGAACTATTCCATTGCGCTGGAAGATCATTCCAAAATTAGCATTTATTCTGTTTATTAATCCTTTTTAGCAACAGTTCATATTGGTACTTTAAAATTACATGTCACAGTTAAGTACAGTTACATAAATTAACTACAAATCAGAACACATAGACAGTATTAACTCTGGAAAGATCTTAATGTTCAGGTATTTCAAAGTTAGGAGACATCTATTGCACAGAAGTAAAGTTCGGTGGCTTTAATTCACACTCCTCCTACCTACTGTTACAAATTAAAACCCTAAAGGGCTGCAAATGACATGTGAGTGCCCACTAATAAGAATAACAAGATACTAGAAACAAGGTGTTAAAGAAAAGAGAGGTGTAAACTCTTCTGGGCAGAAAATGTTCTTCTGAAGGGTGTGAACCTTCTGAAGTATTACATATAGTTTACTGTAAGAATATTAGAATACACTGCACCACTAAGACAACAGGCACTGGATCAGTGGGAAACACCGAAAAGATTACATTTAGGAAAGCTTGCAGGTGCAACAGACCATCATCACCTCAGCTGCATCTAAATGCATCAGCCAAGGACACTTGTTTGTTAGGCACCAGGAGCTAGACTCTGAGAACAAAGCAAATCCACTCCATGTTTTCTGAAGTTTTAACTTTTCAACCAGTGTGCCTTAATATGGTATTGAGAAAGAGAGCGTTAGCATTACTGGTTAAGGTCGTACAGCAAAGGCAAACATTCAGCAGGTTCCTTAAGCAACACGACATTCCAATTTTGGGCCAAATCCCTGCTATCCCAAATTCAAATCAGATTGGTATTACGCAAGCCTGCCACATACTCACTGCACCAAAGACCTGTTTCGCTGACTCTGCTTAGAAATCAAATTCAGCCAAGGCATTAATGATCTTCAAAAGTCTTGCAGTGAGAACAATATTAGAACCATCTAAAAATTTAGATTTTTTTCTACCATCATGCAGAAGCACAGTATATTAAATCAATTCCTCAGAACTCTTATTTTTTGTAAACATACAATAATTTAAAATATTGGGCACATAAGAGGGAAACAATCTTTAAATCCAACATACAGACACTTACACATTTAAACTACATTCTGTGTTATACAGCATTATCACATCTTGGGCACCTATTGTATTAACATTTACTATGTCACAGTCATGCAAATAAGACAGGCAGTATATTAAAGCAGCTTAACACCAGACAGCTAGTAGTGTACTTTCATCAACGTACCTAATAATAACTAGGCTTAAGTAACATGTCATACAAATACAGATGGAAATTTAAATGTTTTAAATGTTACTTGCAATGCCAGAACAATATATCTTTGAAATAAAAGCTTGATTCTGCAGCAAATACTCCCTTTGGTACCACATCATGTTGTTAGTATTAACTTGTTGCCTTAGCTGCAATACATTCTGCTGCTATACCCCGCCTTTTACTAGGAAAAGTTCTCTGCATGTGTACGTATGCGTGCGTATGTGTTATGTGTGTATATATATATATACACACACACACACGCACACACAAAAATACTAAATTAACTAAATTATAATTAAAACACCTCACCTTATTGTCAGAGAAACATACAGACTTAAGTATCCAAATGGGAGAATTAGGTTGGCAGCTACAGATTCTGTGTGCATTTCCTCATAAGGAACTAAAGCTTTTTTTATCCTGGTATATTACTGGCAACATTGAACTGTACAACCTTAAATCAGAGTTCAAGGAACAAACCAGCTTGTGACACAAGGCTAAGAGGGCTTTCAGCTGGCAGCATTTTCAGTTTGCAGTCGCTCAATCAGTTGTTCAGCCTATGAAAGAGAAAAAGCAATGCACTAACTTCACTGTGGACCTTCAGTTTACTGAAAATTCCATTTTAAAAATAGTGACACTGACAGAGCATTTGCTTTCCATTTTTACAGACAAAGCATAGAACAGAAGCAGAATACAATGATTGCTTCAAGCAGCAGACTCCTTTTCACCATTTCCATCAAATTCCCATTAGGTGATCAGAAAAGGAAACAGAACCTACAAAAGTCAGAGGATGTCTGAGCAAATAAATAGCAGATAAAGCAGTGTGGTTTTACAGACCTCAGAATGCAGCAGTGCTCAGAAGAACAAAGCTGTTGAGACCTGGAACTCTTTGGGAGTTGCTCCAGAATGGAGCCTCTCAACAGCAAACCAGCTGCACAGCAGACATTTGGGGAGCGCATTCACACGTCGGGTTCTCGTCACGAGATATACATCCCTTCTTCAGCTACATCACTATGCTCACACATACTTTTCTCATCATATGGCTACTTATCTAGCTACATCTAGGACGTAACTGGGACAGCTGTACTTTGTATGTGTAATAGCACCAGATCACAGACCCCTCAGAGGGGCTCACTGGGGGCAGAAGGCAGCCTGCCAGTGCTGTTCTAGCAGGCCAAACTGGGCACATGGAGACTAACATGGGCAATTCTGAAACAAACTGGTTTACTCTCAGCTTTTTTTTCCCCAGTCCCACAACAATCTTTTAATTTGAACTGGTGCTTGAGGTTTTATTAAGATCTCCAAAAGAACCACGTTAAACGGTGAAAAGCTTAAGTTTGGCAGGTGTTAAACACACATGGTAAAAATGCAATCAGCTACTTCAGGGTCAGAACAACTTAACAGGAGTTAAGTATCGTTTGCAGTTTATTTGCAAATAAAGAAGGCATGGAGCAGCTGAAAACAAAATTACCAGAACCTTGGTTTATATTCTTAAACAAGTTTTAAGTAATTTAAAAACTAAACAAACCTATTGTTCTTGAGTTCAAGAACAATTTCCAACTCGACAACAGGGCAAAATACCTTTTGAAGTGCATTCCTATTGGATAACCAAACTTGGTACAGATCTCCCTGAGCTAATCCAAGATAGCAAGCAGTAAAACTACACAGCTATACTTATATGAAGGCCAAGTATCTGTGGAAGCTCTGCAATACAGCAGAGACACATCTGCTTTTTTCAAGCTATGCGAGATCTCCAGCAAGGCACCACTGTGAAGGAGCCGAGTTTTTTCTGTTTGAGTAAGAGGCTATCTACATTCTTTAGATGAGACAGACCTTTTTCTGCATCTTTGTTTGGGGGCTGCACAAGGACACCGGGATGCTGTGGCTACATTGCGAGGATAAGCTCTTTGCTGCATCAATGCAGTGAGAGTAAGCTTTAGTCCTCGAGGGATTTTCAGAGAGTGACTTAGTCAGTGCCAGGTCAGTCTGATTGCTTATCTCTACTGACATAAATCAGTACAAACAACGTTTTTGTAAAGCAGATGTTTGTTTTAGTCTAAAGATGACACAATGGGAAAGAACATGTGAAATGATACAATCATCAGGTGGACATGTCTTCTACTCAAATTGGATGAACCAGGGTATGTACAATACAGTCCATCACATTTGAATATATCCTTTTAAATTAAAGGACAAATCCTTACAAAGTGTCCTCAGAAACACATCACATTAACCTAAGCTACACGTTAGATCCAGAACTGCTGTATTGTTTGCTGCTTATGTTAATGGCACTCCAATCCCTTTAATAAGCATAAAAATTTAGGCTTTTACCATTATATTTTCTCAGTTAATGCAAAATATACATGATTAATAATTCCAGTAATGACAAAAATAATTGTTCAAAGAATTTTTGGACATAGTTAAAACATTAGAAAGACAGCACACTTTCAGCTTGCAATTAAAAACCTACCAAAAAACTCATCTGCATTACACTTACCGTGATAAACCAGTAGGAATTGATTCTGTAGATAAGTCTGGATAAGAATCCTAGCTGACTGGCTGGGGCCAGGACGTGAAGATGCAAGTGTGATATCGAGCAGAACGGAGGCCAGTGAAAACCCATTCTTCAGAAAAGGAAAACAAGTGAAAATTACTGGTGACGTTAATTCAGGAGGAAGTGGAACATCACAAGTTACTTAACATGATCAACTGAATTAACAACTCATTGCATTTTCCTTGTACATAAAGGCAGGAACAAAAATACGCTCTTTCCTTTCATTATGCTCTCAGGGAACCTTTTCAACATCAGAGGTTCAGGGAGCCTCCTTCACATCTCTGTATTTAAGACACATTTTATTAAAAAGGAGGGTTTAAAAAATAAAATGTATCTTACATGTAGTGTATCTAGTTTTCAGCTGGAAAGCCAAGTGTCACTAGATGAATGTAGTTTCTATGTATTTTAATCATGAAGGCCCAGCTCCCTGTACTCTACACTATTTAAATGGTGTTACAATTTACTTCAGCTATCAATGGCACTTGCTTAAACTAAAGGGTGCAGCACTGAAATCAGCTGAATGCAGCTATGACTGAAACACAATGCAGTGCCCTGCTTAAATAGGACAAAGTTTATCTCTCTTCTGGAATCTAGGATTTAGAGCATATTTCCATCAAATAATTAAAGAAAAGCCTTTTAGAGAAGTTGTTTGAAGTGCCCTCCCTACCCCAATATGTGGCCAAGAAATAAATTCAAGAGCTGGAACACAATCTGCGTTGGAAATTAATCAGAAAAAAAGAATTTATATTCAATGCCAGCATATTCTACTTCAAAAGTTATGGGATAAGCAAATGCAGACCCATTTTCTTCAATAAATCATGCTGTAGTTGTTGCCACCATCTCTAAAATAGCATTCTGAAAAGTAAAAAACATATTCAGTAAACACAGAAGGTTTCTGTTACATACCTTACATTACTCAAGTCACTAAAATTATTTTTCTGGAGAACAGCTTTTCCAACTTCCATCATTCTCTTCACTATTAAAACCAAATAGATTTCATTTAACATTTAAGGAATATTCTACACATCATATGTCATCAAGTAATACAAAAGATATTCTTCAGAATGTTAACTCCAATAAAGTAATTACACTGAGATCACAAACGTGGGTTTTTCAAAATATAAATACAGTTAACTAGTCAAAATCAAAGATTGTCAAGAAAGTGTTGTGCAATAATCAACATGGAAATTACCACTGCTACCAATTCCACACTATTCCACACTAATGATGCTTTGAAGTGTGGTATTATTCCAAGAACTCTGGCCAAAGCTGTGATATCACCACATCCTTAAAAAAACCCCAACATATACTGACTGGTCAGAATGATGACATTTACAGTAATTTCAATGTTGTATCTCTACACAGCTACAGGGCTTTATCTCCAGGTCCTGTGCAGCCTGGCCTAAGTTAGGAAGTTTCAGAGATGGTACACAAATTTAAATCAAAATAAACTAAAACTGTGAGTCCTACTTATTACCAGGACAAGTTTCATTGCTGTATCACTGAGAAAAGAAGCAACCCTAATACAAAAACTCAAGGCTAAGGAACTGTCTTGAAACTAAACGCATATATAATTGTTTCTGGAAAAAACTACCCTATGTTTAGAAGAGAAACACAGTGATGCAAGACATATAACACATGCTGAACTCTTTTCTTGCATCACCTGTAAATTTCCCAAAGGTGGAATCTATTCATGTATGCATGGCTGTAGCTTCTTCTGTTACTCAACACACTTAGCTAGGCATTTCTTCTGAAACAAATTCCAGAACAATGGTTTCTTGAGGAAAAAAAAGAAAGCCTATCAACAACAAATTCAATTTTTTTTTTTTTTTTAAGAATTATTGAAGTTTATTGGAACACCATTTCCCTCTTTCTTCTCCCTCCCTTTTTCCTGAAATATAATGTAGCGCTTGTACTTTAAAATACACATACAATAAAATTCTTCTATAACTTTTCATATAATGTAAAATTGCATATTCATCTAAGAAAACACAATGAAGCAGCACATAAACTCTTTAAAAATAAAGCTGCAGTTCCAACAAAGTGCAAAGGCAGCTATTGTCCATGCAAACAAAACAGATTTCATGCACTGGTGCAATGCTTTTCTAGAACTGCACACACATAAAAGTGCTATTCTAGAACAGCATGTGGAAGTTCCCAGGACAGGTAAGTCCCTGCCTGCACTCATACCACCTATTTCCATGTTTACATTCTCAACCAAATGGTGCTCAAAGGTGTAATTTACTTTACATTGTTTTCATTTAGGTTAAACACACACTTACAGCCTTACCTACAGGTATGTGTTCTGTCTTCAGTGTTTTGCAGTTTCCCATGTGCTCCACCGGCACCACCAGGTAGTGGTGGGGAGCGTTAGGTCTAATATCTCTAAAGCAAACCAGGTCTTCATACTAAAAAAGGATGCAGACGTATTAAATTGATTAGGACGAGGATACTGGCAAAGAGTGGGAGACAAAGTTCACCTTCCCCACACCAATGTGATAACTTAATGTTGTATTTAAATTAACTAGCAAAAATCTTAAGATTTTTGGAGCCAGCCCACAGAAACACTTCTAAACGTGATTTGTGTCCTCAGCTGACCTTCAGCACTCAGCATTCCTCGGCGTCACCTTTAAAGTTTCTAGCCGTTGTGTCAACGTTTTAGGCCGGCAAGGTATTTATTTCCCTTCTGATCGATGTTTCGCTCGTACCTCCGTGAAAGAGCTGAAGGCCCTCAAGGCTATCCCAAGCCGGCCAAGCCTCTCAAATCGACATCCCCGGCGATCCGGCTGCCCAGGCACTGCCTTAACGGGAGGGAGAGCTGGCACCAGGCGGCCGACACACGCCTGGCTCCAGGGTTTGACCTTTCATCCTCAGATTAACCCCCGCGCCGCTCTCCCCTGCTCCCCCGAGCCCTGCCCTCTCTGCAGCCCGCGAGGCCGAGCCGCTCGG